CTCCCCCGCACCCTCGATCCACACCCGGGTTCCTCAGCTCTCCCCCGGTCGTGGATTACCCCGGATTACCCGCCAGAGCCCCGCTTACCGCCCAGGAGACACTCGCGGCGAGCAGCAAGAAGGGAGGCCGGAAAAGAGCGAGACTTCCGTTTCCTGGCAGTTAAACCCTCCCCCGAAGGAAACTGGGTACGGTGTCTGCAAAGGGTCAAGAATTACATAGGCGTTTGTCCTTCCCGTTGCAGCATCTCTGCCCCCTTCTGGCCTATATTAATAGTGCAGATCGAGGAATAAAGTGGGCCGCCCCCCTCCTCCCTTCACTCTCTTTACCTTCCCCATCCGCAGTCCCCCACCTAGGCTTTGTTAGGCTTTCTTTCAGATCCGGTTGAAAGACCGGACACTTATTATCGACTACTTTCATTCGATCTGTGCGTTGGGCATCTACGCAGAGATTTTCCTATTTAAGTAAGGGGATCCTCTTATGTACATTTTAGAACTTTCTAGGGATTTCTCACATTTCTGTCTGATCGCCTTCCCTGTGGACGCCTAATCCGTCATGCTGCTTCCAATTCCTTTAAGAACTGGTGTACAATAAGGGTAAATTAATACTTCCAGTAGCTGACATTGATGGCGCATAACATGGGGCATCCCCTGTGCGAAACCCTGATCCCCAGGCGCACCTGTGACAGGTGGCTCTCGTCGTTACCCCAGTTTTTCCCACGGGGCGAATGAAGGTTTGTCCTTTTGGAGAGAGGTGAAGCCAGGACTCGAACCCACGGTGGTCGGATCCCAAGCCCAGACTCCTGGCCGCAGCTTTCGGAGGCGGTGCCCCTGAAATGGGCGGGCAGCTCTGGGCAGGCAGCGTTTCCTTTGCCCCTTTGCTTCCTCCCAGCCTCCAGCCCATGCCTGACCTCGTTTTCTCCGCAGGCCTTTACCCTCAGCTCTCACACAACGTCTTTTCAGGCAGGCTATGGGAAGCCTGAGGGTATCGATTTTATTTTTATCCTCCGCTTGTCGTCTATTTTCAACCTCTCTACAAATGTCTACATTTGATTACATTTTGTTTCCCCCCAATTTAACAACCGCAGGACAGGATGTAATTGCAGCCTGCTCGTTATTATAGAGCAGCCCACCTGAAGCGAAGGAGTACTTCGCCGTGAACTTTACTTTGAACTTACTCTCCTCCATCCGTCCGACCGTCCCTCCCTCCCTGCCTTCTGTTAGACAAGCCCAGCTTGAGCATCTTCCCAGGGAACACAGGGGAGGATAAACCGACAGTCCTTGCCCCTGGGAAATCACAAAGGGCTCCAACTGTGCTAGGGAGCATTTTAAAAGAAGCCAAACTATGTGTATACAGAGGCATCTGGGTATTATTAGTAGGACACCTTAATTGGCAGGAGCCTCATTTTAGATGGTCTGAAGGTTGGGGTCCAGCCTGGGAATCATGGGAGCCTCAGCTCTGACCTGAGAAAAACACCCCCGAGTGCCTCAGCCTGACTTTGCCAGCCCTCCTCCATCCCAGGCTGGTGGTGACTTTCTGGTCTTTTGTCCCCCACCGCTCAGCCGCAAGCAACCGGTTTTTCAGCCCAACCAACTGGCACCTCCTGGCTCCAGGTCTTGTCTGCGCTGCCCCCTCTGTTACTAAGTCCTGCCCGGCAGGACTCTTCACCTCTGACCCCTGTCACTTGTCACTGGCACAGCAGACACACTCCTGATAGACTGTGTGACAGCGTTAACCTTTCGAGACATTTGCGCCGTCTTTTCTTTGAAGACCAGAGTGGGGCTCGGCGTCATTTGATAAGTCTCAAGATTCAGTATATACATGCACGGTGGGTGGCCCCTGCTGACCTCACAGGGGTCTCCGACTGTGAGCGTCACCTCCCGCGGGGTCCACCCTGGGCCCCTTGTGGAGTTTCCCGTGTTGCGTGGGTGTCGGCACCACCAGGGAGGATTCTGTCCTCCGAGACCACTCACTAAATGGAGTGCGAATGAGGGAAGGGAGGGAGGGGGGAATTAATTAGGACAAAGCAGCGCTCGGCGCATAGTAGGCCCACAAAATATTTCTTGCGTGAATGCCTGGTGTTTCTCTCCACTACAGGACCTACAGGACAGGGGTAGGGGATAGGGGACAGGGGAGGGGCTGTCCCAGAGAGACAGGTGCTCACCCTCTTAAACTGTATAATAAGAGAACATAGAGGTGTATTTACAAAGCACGAAGGCAGATTGGCTCAAGTACCTGAAGTTCCCTCCAGCTCCCCAAGGGGCACAACTAGGAAAATAAACAGCAGCTCCTGGAAGGTGAGGCCAGGAGCCTAGAGGCACGTTCGTCATGCTTCACGGGCAGATGACCCCAGATGGTCGTGGGACAGCAAAGTCTGCATCTCTGAGTGGGGGGCCGGTGCCGCACTTGACAGAATCCTCCCTGGTGGTGCTGAGACCCACGCAGCACAAGAAGCTCTGCAGCACAGGCCCTGCAGGAGATAAAGACCCCCAGACGTGAGAGCTAGGCTTCCGTGGTCCGGCGTAGCTTGGTTTCTGGAAATAGTTCAGTGTGGCAGTTACGGTCTGGGGGTGGGGGTGGGGAGAAGAGGTTGGAGGGGGTGCTGGGGGGAGGCAAGCCCTCTGGTGGTCTCATTTCAGTCTCCCCTGCACCCTTGGGGAGCCAGACAGCTTTCCGTCCTCTCCCTCTGGAAAGCCACACCTCAGGCTCCAGATCCTTTCAGACCTGCAGGGAATGGGTGATCTGGACCCACTGGGAGGGGCAGGAAGTCAGTGTGTCAGCAGGGAAAGGCTGGTGGGGTTCACGTCCAGAGAACCAAGGGTGATACCAAGTGGTGAGATGGCCAACCAGGCTTCCACTCGGGCCTTTGCGGGGCCCCCTCCAGTGGGGGAGCTCATGGTCTACATGAGGGGGGGCAGGGGTAGAGGAGTGGCACCCCAAGCTGCTCTGTGGGTCTGCCTGGCACCCTGGGCTTGCCCACCGTAGGCATCAGGGCACAATGGCCTGTGGCCGGTTCCAGGCTTGCCTCCTTCACTTACTTGCTTCAAACGCGATGTGTGGGGGGTCACCTACCTCTCTCTTTCCTCATGGGGCTGCTGCGAAGCTTCCTGGGATAACTGAAATGACAGCTGAATTCCTGTTATCCCCACTCGCTCCAGGAGGTCTGGAAGCCACCCCCTGCCCGTGGGTGTAGTGTCACAACCGCCAGTGGGCGTGCCAAGGCCATGACTGGAAATGGAACGTGAGGGAACAGCCCCTTGCTGCCTTCTGAAATCCGGGCTCCCAGGACGGGTATGAAGGGACAAGTGTGGTATTTGTCCCTGAAGGCACAGGTGCTTCCGGATGTGCTATCTCGTTTAAGTCTCCGAGAGGCCTGTGCGCGTGGCCTGCACCTTTGGCCTTCAAGCCACCTCGGAAGGAAGTTGTTTATTAAACGCTGCAGGGGGCACCCAGGGGTGCAGTCTGTTAAGCATCTGACTCTTGGTTTTCAGCTCAGGTCATGATCTCAGGGTTCGTGGGTTCGAGTCTTGCATCAGGCTCTGCCCTGACAGTGTGGATTCTCTCTCTCTCTCTCTCTCTCTCTCTGTCTCTCTCTCTCTCTCTCCCCGCCTCTCCTTCTCCCTCTCCCTGCTCCTTCCTCGCTCATGCTGTCTCTGTCTCTCTCAAAAGAAAAATAAATAAATTTTAAAAATGAAAAATAAGATACACCCTGCGTGTTTTCAGGAGGGGAGAGTCTGCCGTGTCTCTGGCTGAACGTGGTTCCCTGGGAAAAGGATGGGACGGAGGGAAAGAGTCCAGGGCCGGTGTTGGGACCGGTGCTTTTTGGGGGGACCCAGGATGGTGAGACTAAAGGAATATGGGTGACTCCCCTCCTCCAGTCTGCCCTCCCCAGCTGGAGAGAACCTCAGGGCCCCTGAGTTAGAAGCCACAAAGCATGACTGGTCAGGCTGGAATGGGGTTTCTCCAACTGGGCACTACCGACCTCCGACCTTCGGGGCTGGGGCAGGAGCTTCCCGGGCAGGAGTCGCTCTGAACGTTGTAGGATGGTTAGCAGCCCCCCGCCCCCTACCCACCGGATGCCAGACCCTCAGCAGGCCTGGTGTGGGGGAGGGTGGGGTGGGAGAAAAGCCCCCGCCCCCCAACTGCACCTGCAAGGGCCTGTAAGAGGGCGAACAACCACCTGCCCAGAGAGCTCGTTGATGGAGTAAATGGACTCCAGCTGTTTTTAGAGAGGCCGCCGTTAACCAGGCACCGCGTCAGCGCTTTCTCTGTCCCAGCAACACCTTTCAGGACAAGTCTGTGCCGCTCGAGTTTTGTGCCAGCGCCCCCACCCCGCACAGCTGTGACAACACAGACACCAGATCCTTTCAATCTCTATCCCCATCTCAAGGAACTCCCAGACTAGCAGGGGAGTCAGTGACGCATCAGGGCTGTGTGTACAGTAAGTAGTGCCTCTCACTGTGGGACCCGATGGGGACCGCAGGGGACTGATCCAGGCTGGGGAGGGCGGGCAGGCCCAGGGAAAATCCTCCAGGAGGAAGTAACCATGATGCCCGATTCACAAGGGAGAAAACCCACCCAGCACCCTGGGAGCAGCCTGCCAGAATGTGCAAACCCTCAAGGCAAATGTGTTCCAGGGGGGCTGGAAGGAAGAAGCAGTCAGACTGGGTGGCAGCAATCTGAGAGGTCTTCCTGGAGGAGGCACTGTGACAAAGGATGGGAAGAAAACTGTTTCTGGAGACTGACAATCTCAGGGCAGAGCCCGTGTCTGGCTGGGAGACGTTGAGCCTCAGTGGCATCTCTGAGCCTGTCTCTATCAAACAGGGATATTATTTGCTCCTTCCAAGGCTTCTGGGCCACTGTGCCAATTGTGCATAGGCTGTGCAACCGTCTTGCGGTTGCCCTGCTTATGAGAAACCAGAAGATACGACGAACGAGGAGCGGAAAACGCTTAGCCCAGCAGCTGGCCCTGTAACTGTTAATTGAATGCGAGTCCAGGGCGGGAATTGTGGGTGGATATGCACAGCCACAACCTGGAGAAGAGCTGGTCAGCCCGAGTGGCGGGGTCCTCCCTCCCCAGCGCTGGGAGGGGGCGGGCAGGCAGAGGGCACATGCCTGGGCTTCTTCGGTGGGAGCACCAGCTGATGACACCTCCTCACCGCCCCTGCCTCCCTCCACCGGCCCCTCTCAGTCCGTGAACTGCTTCCACGGTGTCCAATCTGCTACCATAAAAAGGATGGATTGGACGTCGTCCACCAGTGAGGAAAATAATATCGGGCGGAGGGGAATCCATCTAGAGTGTAAAAGACAAGCACCGCTCTTATATATCAACGTGGGCAGGGGTGAGGGGACGTTGGAGTGAGAGAGAGAAAGGGCGCAGTCCCTTCCAAGTAAGGGACAGGGGCCAGCCTATCAGCTTGTATATATCTTGCATTATGCAGCGGGAGAGAGAAAATCGATGGAGCTGTCAGCAGTTCAGCGTGCTCACACTGCAGACGTCCCCATCTCAGAATGCTCCAGACGGATGCTCCAAATTAAAAACCAGGGGAGGGGGAGAGGGGGCTGAAGGGGTGGGAGATAAACACCCCGGCAGACCAGAGGGAAGGAAGGGATGCGACTGAGGATCTGGGAAAATGAAAGTCCATAAATCCCGAGGCCCAGGGAGCATCTTGGGGGAGAGTGACAGCAGACCCTTCCCTCGGCAGTGGGGTCCTGGGTCTGGGGTCCCCTCTGCCAGGTGGGAGTCCCTGGGGAGGGATCGCGAGCAGGCCTCTTGGATTAGAGGTGTTAATGGAGACAGGGATGGGGGGAGGGGGGTGGGGGAGGCAGAATGACCCCGATGATACCCTTGTAACCTGGGGTGTGTGCATGTGGGGGTCCTGTGCATTGGGGGTGGCATTGCAGGAGCTGCAGGGGCAGGGGCAGGGGGCAGCTCTTTGCTACTTAACTGCTCCCTCCCAAGAAGCTCTGGCTTCCTCTTAGCATCCCCTGCCTGTGTCCACCTCCCTTCTCTGTCCCTGCTTCAGCCCATCCTTCTAGCCCCTGGATGGCAAGCCTATGGGGAAGCCGGAGGATGTCCCCACATCCTTCCCGGAGCTGGCCAGCTGCTGTGGAGGCTCCTGGAAGGACATGAGCTAGTGGGCCAAGCACCCACCGCCTTTGCCTGTCCCCGGCCACCCACCGCACA